GTCCAACACATATGATTATTATCAAAATATTAAACTTTAATATAATATAAAAAAGGAAAAAAAGAAGACATTTAAAAAAATAATAATAATAATAAAAATCGCAATTCACATATATAGATAATTGTAAATATATTAAGAAAAAAAGGGGTTTCTAACTCTCAAGTTTTGTAGGAGCTCCAATATCCCAATCTAAATTTTTTGATGTTTTGATTCAAAAGGTTTGATGGAAATTGGTGGTGCATCATGTGAGGTGGATTTTATTTAAGGAGTACTGCTTCTTTTATATAAAATTGGATAAAATATCTTGGGAAGTATGCTTAGAAGTGCCATCCAAAAGTTGTATATACTTTTCCTATCCCAAAAGATGAGAAGAGAAGTTGCAATACTTTGAAGAATTCTTGGTTAAATATTTGTTGTTGGTTCTATTGCAGGTGTGTAGGGGAACTGCCGTGATGCTTGTATCAGCTACTGATGAGATTGCGAATCCTTTCATCCAGCCAGATGGGGCTTAAATCTTTGAGAATCTCCAGACATGCGAACTCTTTTTTGGTCAGTGTCTGAGTCCTGTTCTATATTTATCAAAAGACCTCGTTTTCGTTTTCTACGTTCATCTGAGTTTCTGGTTGCTAGTGATTCTTCTAACTTTCCAAAATGATTTGAGATAGGCTTTTCCCCGAACCATTGACCCTTGTTTGGGAGGGAAAAGTTGATTCATTCAATGGAGCTTTATAAGTAACCCTGAGGCTGGTATGAGATCTGTTAACAACTTTGTCAAGCCAACACTGCTTCTTACTGATTTATATGATGTCTTGAACACTTCAGTTGCATACACAAACTGATATTTTCTACTGTCCAAGTGCGAGCTTTGGACAAATTTAGTTGTCATCCATGGTTTATGGTGGACCTTCTATGTAACTTATGGTGGCTTATGCATAATCATGTGATTGTCAAATGTTGACTTAGCTGTTGGCTAATCATGAGAGCTTAATCAGAGTAGTGAATGTTTGTCGCCCCCACACCAATTGAGTGTTGGAAGCCTACAACTTTTACATTAAAGGGGTGACCATTTATGAAGTCATCTTTGCATTTGAAGCTTTGAATTTGGGCTCAGGGCTTTGCTTTCATTGTTGTACTTGAAATCTCTTAATCTCTCTTGCTATGTAATGGCTGCCAAAATGTGCACTCAGCAACATGTGCAATCTTAGAGATAGTCTTCATAACTACAGATAAATGTCATAATCATTTTAAGAAGTTGTTTGTCTTGGATTAGGTTTGAGCAGTACTATGTTTTTTCCTTCAGTCTACAAATATTTGTCAAACCAACTCTGAATAAAGCATTAGCTTCTGATTTAAGTGCGGGAAGAATGATTTTGACTTGTGCTTTTGCTGCAGATCCAGATGATCCACTGAAGACTACTGATCAGACCAGGCGTCTTGGCTTAATCGTATGTTCTCTGTAGTCATTAAAATTTGAACATAAAATTTGCAGTGGAGTTCTTATCTTTTATTTACTGCGAAGATTTTTAATTTTTGTGGAAAATCCTCTTTATGGGATTTTTAAAAAAAATCTGATTTGGAAAATTCTTGCATTTTTGTTTTGATTAAGTTTTAATTTGGGTAAAGAACTGGAGTATTTAGACTAACTGAAACCATGAAATACCTTAGCCGGGACATAGATAACAAGTTTTATATGTAGTAGGCTCCTTTTATAAAAGTTCAGTAGCTTGGATTTTATTTAAGGAGTACCGCTTCTTTTATATAAAATTGGATAAAATATCTTGGGAAGTATGCTTAGAAGTGCCATCCAAAAGTTGTATATACTTTTCCTATCCCAAAAGATGAGAAGAGAAGTTGCAATACTTTGAAGAATTCTTGGTTAAATATTTGTTGTTGGTTCTATTGCAGGTGTGTAGGGGAACTGTCGTGATGCTTGTATCACCTACTGATGGAACTGATGAGATTGCGAATCCTTTCATCCAGCCAAATGGGGCTTAAATCTCTGGACTTATTATGTAGCTGCCTTCTTAACATTTGGTTTTTTCTCATTTAAGATATTCTAGAGTTTGAATTTAGTTTCTGTTTTGTCTACTTGAATGTCATTGTCTATTAATGTGAAATAGTAGCAAATGCCATATTACATTCTGTGATTTCTTTGAACTGATCAGGTGTTTTGGTGCCCCTACGAAGTGAATATGATTTGAATAGGCGGTCTTTCTAATTGTAATTACTTGCAAGTTATCCATGGTATGATTATACAACATTTACTGAAATTGCAAAACTACTAGTTCCAATCAAGTGTTGACAAAAAATGCACATATGAAACAAACAGGTGATGAGCAAAATGCAGTGTTGATTTGATTTACTTGGGACATTCAAATGCTTTTTTTTTTTTTTTTTTTTTTTTTTTTTGCAACTTATAATTAGAAGCAACTACCTGCATATTCCTTGATTCGAACCTTGGTACGAACTCAAACTTTGTGAAAATGTTCTGGTTTTATCTATGCGCTGAAATACAAGTTCTTCCTCAATGTTTGAGGTTTTTCAAGGCTAAATACATCCCATTTTTTGAGGTCTACAATTACCTTTTATGCTATATCTGGTTAGGAGATGAATATAATTTATTGTGGTGGATATATTGGTTATGTTAAAACATGATTTTTGGATTTGGATATGTTATTTTGTGGGTAATGGTGATTGGATATTGAATGAGAAACTGAATTAATGCTTCATTTGTTATTTGAATGAGAGTTATTATTTTATCTGTTAGTTTTATTACAGGTATTTGAATGGGAGTTAATATTTTGTATGTTAGTTTTATTACAGGTATTTTTTTATTAATTGAATGAGAAACCAAATTCAATATTTTCTTACAGGTATTCTTTTTAATTTAATCAAATAAAACTAGCACAATCTCAAAAAAAAAAAGAAAAAGATATGACGGCGTTTCTGGAAACGCCTCCTAAACCCTCAATAGTAACGGTCATACTTTTTAAACAGATACGACAGCATTTCAAAACGTCGCTAAATATCGTTGGTGACGTCAGCGTGTGTATAGTGGGACATTTGGCGGCGTTTTTTAAAACGCCTCCTATACTAATATCATGACGTTTTTAAAACGTCGCAAAGCTATAGCGACGGCCGCAGCTTTGACATTTGGTACTAAACGCCACAAAATGAATTAGTGGTGTTTTGATAGATATAGCGGCGTTTTTAAAACGCCACTAAAAGCCCGATTTCCAGCATTGATAGTTTTTAGAAGCCCAAGCTATTCAAGAGGTCCATTACTCGACATGGTTGTCCAACACGGTTATTGTCAAAAAGAAAAATGGGAAATGGATGGTTTGTGTTGACTTCACGAGCCTAAATAAGGCATGTCCAAAAGATTGCTTCCCCTTACCTAAGATGGACCAGCTAGTGGACACCACTTCAGGGCATGGCAGGATGAGCTTCTTGGACGCATATCGAGGCTACTATTAAATAGTGATGTATGGACTGAATGAGAAGAAGGCTACCTTTATCACTCCAAAGGGCCTCTACTACTATAGAGTCATGCCCTTTGAATTGAAGAATGCAGGGGCAACATACTAGAGGCTGGTAACCATGATTTTCAAACATCTAAGTGGAAAGACAGTGGAGGTATACAATGACGATATGGTCATGAATAGTAAAAAAAAAAAATCGTGGGATCACCAGGTTGACCCCAATGAGGTGTTTGATATCTTGAAGGCATTTTGGCTTCAACTGAACGCCTCTAAGTGTGCTTTTTGGGGTTGGGTCAGGTAAGTTTCTAGGATACCTAGTGACGAGAAGGGAGATCGAAGCAAGCCTTGATCAATCAAGGCTATACTTGATCTGAAGAGCTCGATAACAGCGAAGGAAGCCCAAACTTTGATCGGCGAGGCAACAGTTCTGAACCGATTCATAAGATGGAGTTCTGACAAGTGCAGACAATTCTTCCAGCTCTTGAAGAAAGCCACATACTTCATATGGATAAAATCCTCCAATTGCAGGAGATGATTTGTTTTTATGCTTGGTAGTCTCAGACTATGCAGTTGGTGCGGTGGTAGTCCGATAAGAAAAAGGAGAACAAAAGGTAGTCTACTACATAAGCAAGACTTTGGTGAGTGTGAAGACAAGATACTTGTCTTTGGAAAAATTGGTGCTTGCCTTGGTTATGACAACCCCGTTCTACATTATGCTTCTATTTCCTTAATTGTGCATGTGCTTATGTGCTAAGTTTGAATTTGAGTGATTAATATGTTATTAATATGATCTTGACTTTATATCTGTTGATCGTAGAAATTTTTTTATGATTTCTGCTTTGATCTGAAAATTGAAGGCCTTAATGGCGTCAGAAATCAAAATTGATTAATTTAATGTGATCAACATAATTTTTGAGCCTAATAGGAAGTTTGATTAAAATTTGATTAGGACTAAATTAATTAGATTAAGCTAATTAGAGCGAAGTGTAATTTGTTAATCTTAAGCTTTGCTTAACACTCTAATCTAATCCTCAAGTATAAATATGTTGTAATTAAGAGCTTGAAGCCTTAATCATAAAATTGAGCTCAAAAATTTGAGATAGAGAGCTTTAAAGAGAGAGAATTCAATCGTAGAGAGAGAAAGAGCTTGGATTTGAAGAATTTTGCTTAAGGATTGAAGAATTAGGAAGACAACTCAAGAACTTGCTAAATTGAGCTCCATTGAAGACCCTAGGTAAGCTTTTGAACCCCAATTCATGAAGCTAAGTTATTTCATATGTGAATCCAAGAGAATTATGTGATTGAGTACAAGAATTAAGCTAAGATTGTTGAATTTAGAGGCAATTCATACATGCATGCATAGTTTGGTTGAGTTTTACCATTTTTGAACATAATTATCTCATCCATGCTGAATTTGAAGGATGAATTGTACATGCATGCATGAATTACAAGATTTTGAAAGTGAATTGCATGTTTTTGAAGCTTTACAGAAGAATTTGAAATTTAAAACCAACATGCATGAAGATTCGAGTTTTATTTAAAGAATTCTTGAAGCCTTGAGATTTGGTTTTTGAGAATTGACTTTGTATTCATGTTTTTGGAAGATTTTCTAAGTGTTTTCAAAGTTTTGTCAAGCCATTCGAGAAATTGATTTGAAAATACAAGCTTTGAAGCTCAACTTTGTTCTGGAATTTCTAGAATTTTGTCTCATTGCTCCAACGAACAATCTGTTGCTCGAGCACACATTGCATGCATTCAGTATTTTTTGCAAGCATTTGTAGTTGGCTCAAGCGACCGCCTTTCATTTTGCACCTTGGCTTGAGCGAACATCGAGCCTAGATTCGAACCATTCAGTACTTTTGCAAACCAAGTGGTTCACTCAATCGACTAATGTTGTGCTTGAGTGAAGTGCTCTGTTTCAGCAAATTTTGAAAAGACATATTCTGATCAAATGTGCATTCTCATTCCTTTCTGAGCATTCTTAGGCATGAGTTGAACATCCTAAATTAATTAAAGGGTTAGAATGAAACCCAGGAGAATTGAATAAGTTAAAGAACAATCCGGTTAAGCAATGTAATTCAACATGTATATGTTGATGTATTGTGTAGGATCATCTGCAAGGTGAAGTCAATAACTAAAACTGTGAGTAATATCTTAGTAAAGATATTTTCTTACTTTATTTTCTGAATGCCTTTATGTGGTAAGCTTTTCCGAAATTGTGATTTTGCAAGTGTGAATGAGTTTCTCTCTATCTGATCAATATGATATATGTAAATATAATTCATGCGACATGAATGTGTATGATAGACCTAAGGTCATTCTGTATGTTTGAATTAGACCCAAGGTCGTTCTGTGTAATTGAAATGGACCCAAGGTCATTCTACACATTTGATAAAATAAACCCGAGGTCATTCTGAATATTTGATAAGTCTGATTATCTGATATGAGTTGGCCGAATGGTCATTATACAACTGTAAATGATTGGACTCAAGGTTGTTCTATTATAATATGATCAATTCCATTCCATATATCTATTATACGTTAGACCTGAGGTCATTTTGTTATCTGTTGGACCCAAGGTCGTTCCGTGATGAATCACTTATGATATAGAGATGCTTATGTCATTTATTAGATCTCATTCACATAACCCCTTTGCTCTGATGTTATTCATTGGGCGTTAGCTCACTCTGTTTATATATATGTATGTAGGTGAGCAACAGGATGTCCAGCCCCAGCTTTAGTGAACCTATGAAGGATACCAAGTTTTGTGAAGTTTGTTATGACTGCCTCACGAGCGAGGCTTTTGTTCTTTTGAATTTCTATTTTCTTTCACTGGTCATGTTTGGCCTTGTATACGTACATAAGTTTTGGTTTGGTATGACAATGGCGTTTGAAAGAGCTTGGACATATGGGATCTTATTATGTTTGTATGAGTGTGAGTTATTAATGTATGAGAAGTTCTATTTATGCCATTTATGCATAGCTCATTGGACAAAATTTTATATTTCTACTTTCGCTTCTGGCCCCATATAATTAATTATGATTTGATTTCTGTCTGAGGTTGTAGGTAATCTCATGATTATTGGTTGGTTATGATCCAAACCTCTATGGGTGGGTTTGGGTCATGACAGAGTGGTATCAGAGCATGAGTTAATAACTCATACACTTGTCCAACTGAACAATAAGGTGTCTAGAAAAGATTTAAGGTGCTTTCATCTGATAAGAATCTATCTATGTGCATTGAGAAGATGTGAATATTTAGAACATGAACTGTTGTGTCTATATGTGTATATGTGTAATTTTTGTGTCTACTATAATGAAAGTTTATATAGATAATGGTGAGAACAAGGGTTGATGAGATAGAAGAGTCGACTACAGCCCAACTGGATAGAATGTAAAGAATGATTGTTAAGGCAACAACAGTAACGACCATCTCCACCTTCGCCAATGACAGTATCGCCTATACAAGACTATCAGACTGATGACCGTACAATCACATTGACTAAAGAATTTAAGGAAATAAAACCGCCATTGTTCCATGGGGGAATAGGCCATTTAAAAGCTGAAGCTTGGATCCTTGGAATATAGAAGTTATCTGAGGTATTTCCATGTGCAAAGGGTTCAGTTGGATGCATTCACTCTAGAAGATGAGGTAAGAAGGTAGAGGATGCTAAT